CACTGTGGTGTGATCTGTCTCGTGTTGGGTAGGGCCTATAGGTGGACAACCACTTCACCTGATAGTATCAGAAGAGCTTTACTTCTTGCCCTTCTTTTTAGGGGCCATTTAGAATTTTCAATGTTTTAAAATTTCGACTTTTTTTCCAAATTATTTTGACCCACCCACCCACCCCTAATTTCGATTAATAAAAAACTGAACATGTATTGTAGCCTACATGTACATGCACTTGCATGTACAGTGTGCATATAATTGAGCATGTACATGTATACCCATGTACATGTACATGTGTACCCATGTACATGTGTACCCATGTACATGTGTGTCTAGTTCAGTGACGGCGTGAAGTTGTCGGTCTTCCTCTTTTGCAGTGGTGGCCTTCAGTTTTCTTGGAAGCCACAAAGATGACCGTGGTTTTGTCATTTTCTGGATTAGCCCCATAAATGTGGCCAATTTACTGGACTGCCTCCGTAAATAAGGTTACACTGCCACCATGTATAAAACCGTGTCTATTTTTCGTGAAATTTCCAGATTCGTTTGCACACGTTTGCGTATATCAAAATTTTAACATGAAATTTTACGAAAAATAGACATCTGAAAAAAGGCAGTACTTTCTAATTAGCCTATAAAGGGGGTGAGTATGCTTCTAAAGCAAAAATAAACTACAAACTAAGCCTAAATGTGAAAATCAAAATTTGACAAAGTTCGACATGTTTTTGTATATGATGGCAGTGTGGCTTATTTACCGGGGCAGTCCAGTAAATTGGCCACATTTATGGGGCTATTTCTAGATGAGGGGGATGACATGTGACATACGAGGTTGTGCCTGTCACGTGAGGTAGCTGAGAAAAACATTCCCTCGTACCCCCCGCCCTGTTTGCAGGGCGGGGGTACGAGCGAAAGAAAAACATCAAGTTTGGGCAGTCATCACATCACAGGCTGCGGTCCTCGTAGTCTTGGAGTCCAGTGGTTGAATAGTCCAGTTTTTATAGCGATTGGTAATCGACACCCGCGGCGTGTTATAGAGCCGATCTAGTACACCTTGTACCCTGCTGCCTCTGCACGGCCTAACCGCTAGTCTGGTTCCCAGACCTGACAATTATTCCCGACGCTCACGTCTAAATTGTAGGTCAGGCAGTCTCCTTGGCTAAAAATAAACATGACGACATTGATGGCCCTTTTTCAAAGCTCGGCTTCGTTTCCGATTTCGCTTTATCACTTTTAGCTTTTAATGTTTGATCAAATTTTTAAATAAATCACTTGCTTCGTAATATCATACATTCATGATAATACAGTTTGATGTTTCTGTAAGATAACATTGATTAATGTTGATCTTGAATCTTCAAAATAAGGCACCCAAATAGCACTGTTAGCAGGCGGAGCCGAATGAAGACCGAGTTTTGGAAAATCTCGGTAACGGTCGTAACGTCAAATTTCAAGTTTTCTAAATGAAAGCAATGAAATTAATTATCAACTCATTTAAAAAAAAATTAAAAATAAGCAATTATTAGTTAACTAACCTATATTATACTCGGAAATACTCGGGTGCTATCCGATTGTCGACGAAACGAATTCGGCAAACTTCGGAAATTTTCGGAAAAAGGAGGAATTCCTCCCGTTTTAGTCACGTGACATAAATTGTAATACAATGTATTACCGGAGGCTACCTGACCTAAGATTCATCAGGAATAGTCAGAATCTTTTGGTCTGGGAACCAGACTACCTAACCGCTAGAAACGCCCGGCATCCAAGTCTACTGAAAAACCACCTCCCTCTCATGCCACAGTGGGTCTATATACATGTACATGACGTACATGTACAGTACCAACCTCGTCCCCAGTGCTTACTCTATTTCCAACCGTATTTCCAATAGTAAACCCTGGATAGTAAACTTTCTTCCTGTATCCTGATTCGATATCGCAATTGGCTAGTAATGGATTTTTATCGTGTACTTGGTGTTGTTATTCACAACACGTGTTTTCACGATCATTCGTCCACACCTTCTCAAAAACATTCCTTTCCTTTTCCAATTTGTTCATATTAATATGAAATGTGATACTGCATGTTGTGTCGATAAGATCGTAACAGTTTAATTAAATAAATCGCGTTTTCGTAACTCACGCTGTGCTCGCGCTGCGACGAATTGACTCTGTTTTTACCCCAGACACCGCATACAAAAACAAACGATAATGTAACGCACATGCAGGCATCAGACTATTCCTCATTTGCATACGTGTTCCAAAATCTTGCACATGCAAATGATCCAATACCAGGGTGAGAGAGCAGTTAGTGATGGGCGCGTACTGCTCGACACCCTGGGGTCGAGGTTGGTACAGTACATACAGGGGACCAAGTAGGAAAAGAAACACGCATTGCGATATCGGAACGCTTGCGCGTTGTTCAGGCAAGTCAAAAGATCTATCTTTCTTCTTCTTTTTTTATCTTTTTTCCATGGAAAGTGAATTTCGATTTTCAATTATTTAGCTTGACCCACCCACCCACAATTTAAAAAAAAGATCGAAATTTTAAAACATTGAAAATTCTGAATGGCCCCTTAGTCTACTCTCTCAACTAACAACGATTTGCATAAAGACAGCAAACAATAAGTGTCAAAAAGTAACCCTAAAACGTGTAGTAGCATTCATTGTAGATGGTCATTTAAGTGCGTATATGTGATAGGTTTGGGCAGAATAAATACATGGTTCTAACACTCATGTATATTTCTGTGGTTTTTTTTTAATAAAGAACATATCAGTGGTTTCAATAATTAGTGATTTGTAATCAGTTACCTTGGCAACTATGAACACCCTTCAGATTTTCACTATTGACCTCCCGCCAACAGTTAGGAAAAGTCTGCATATCATCGATATTGATTGTGGCGCGGGAAGTAAAGTCCAAAACCTCAAAGCGTACACCCAATTTTGTTATGTCGTTTGGGGGCAAAACATCGCGACCCGGATGAGCCCCGAGAATAACGTCACATAAATCAAAAATTTCACACCCAGGTCCAAAATACACGATCAGTACGCTTATTTGCCACTGAGTAAATACAACACAGTAACAAACAAAGTACTTCACTTCAGATTATGCATAGATAGTATTTGCTTTATCAGTGCGCGTGATTTGTCTGTACAAACCACCCGTTAGGGCCCTGTCACACTTCTGCGTATCCTAATTCCTTATGAGTTGCGCATTGACATTTTTTTCATACGCAGTCGTACGCACAATACGCACCTCATATGCATCTCTATCGTTTTGTGTAAGTTTTATGTACGCAGGCATACGCATGGTACGGCCCAGTACGCCGGATAGTTTTGGGCATGCACAAAACTACGCTGCGTACGCTGTTACGCAGGTCATAAGTTATAAATACGCAATGCATCGGTCCCGCATCGGTCGTGCGCGGTACGAGTGCGCTATGTGTTCGTGGGGGATTTAGCGGTTCATACCACTGATCTCTATATAAAGACTGGATAGCTAATACAGAGCCGCACAATGTACGAATTTGACGCCATATTGGTGAGACCGGCTGGTGATCTACAAATGACAAGTTGTCGTTTTTATAGACAGCTTGATTTCTTTTGTAACGTCGCGGCTCACTTGACTTATATTTTGGCCACCACCACTGACCAACTGACCAAGGTTAACTACAATTTTTCTAACGTAGTGGTTACTTTTATATTATGCCGCAAATCACTTTTCCGGCGTTTTTGAAATAATAATCACTACGGAAATGTGTTCCATTTAGAACATCATAATATGTGTACGTGACCAAAATGCGCGTCAACTGTTGATACAACGCGCGCGTATTTACGCGTAGAACGTTCGTATTATACGCGGCCATCTTCGTGAGACCGGGGGCGAATTGGTCAATATGCAAAGTCTACTGTGTGAATGTTGTATGCATATCCGCTATCCAGTCTTTATATAGAGATCAGTGGTTCATACGCGGTAATACGCTGACCTCCCGGCACGCACCCCGTCAGCATATGAGCCGCCTATATTGGACGTATACATAGCGTACTTGCAGCGCAGATACAACGCACGCTGAACGAACTCATAGCGAATGCCGACGTATTGCGTCAGGCATGCGGTCGGCATAAGTCGGGTGCGTCCAGAATACGCTCGGCATGCGCACTGCATACTGACCTATTCGCAGCCCGAAAAATAATGTTGTGCACTGCATACTTAACTCATACGCATCTCATACGCAATGGATGCGCTAAATTCGTTACTTGTACGCTAGATGTGCGTTGCACATAAGTCAAAGTAATCAAAAAAATTCGACGTTTTGAGCGTACGGCTGCGTATTGAAAAATGTTGATAAGGAACTCATAAGGAATTAGGATACGCAAAAGTGTGACAGGGGCTTTAGCTCTGGTCCCCGTCCGTGCTTCTCATCAAATTCGTTGTCGTCGTCGTCGATTGTGGGGCGGGAAACAGCCTATACCCACAAAAACGGAATTATTGTCCGGCAGCAATAATAATAATAGTTAATTCAATTACTAAATAATGGTCCGTTTGGGGGTTAATGTCTCATTCAATGTCATTATCATCGTCGAGGCTCACGATAGCTTGTGAGACTTCAATCACAAAACTGACTAAAACCTAAAAACAAGATATGGCAGAACACAACGAGGAGATGTACGAGGGCATATACCGTATATCGGTGTTTGGTATAGCGGCGTTCCACTGTATTCAAGAACATGTCCTCGTCAGTATAACTAATTAAGAAAACAACCCCTTTAAAACATGTTTTATCTTAAGGTTACATCGCCATTAATTTAGTCTTTCGTGTACGGAATGGGACGAGTCCCGTTGATTTCAAGCACCGTTTTTGGTGCTAAAGCTGCGCTTGTAAAAGAGGAAGTTGCAAAATTTAAATCATTTAATATACTGCCCTAAGAAATATACAAAGTTTTCACCACACAATACAAAAGTCATTATTTCACGACATTTGATCGTGATTTAGAATTGCATCATTTATTTGTTTCACAGAGATGGCTACTGCGGCATCGTTAGACTCTGCTCTTGAGAAGATCGGCGTTCACCTTGAGTGCAGCATCTGCACAGGTAAATACAAGCAGCCGAAAGTACTGAACTGCCTTCACAGCTTCTGTGAGGAGTGTCTTGTAAAGTACCGTGATGGCACATACGGAGGAGCTCCACAAATCCCTTGCCCTATGTGTCGTCAGGAGACGGTACTTCCACAGACTGGCATCCAGGGCCTCAAGACCAACTTCCATTTGGTTGGTATGATTGCAGAATTTGAATTACAGGAGAAGGTAGCATGCTCAGGAGACTCGAAGCTTCTCTGTGAGACATGCGATGAGGATAACGAGCCTTTGCATCACTGTTTCGACTGTGGAAAGAATATCTGTACCCCCTGCCGCAAGACACACTTACGGTTTCCAGTGTCGGCAAAGCATGCAGTAGCAACTTTGGATGACATTCGTCAGGGGAAGGTGAAGGTGACTAAACAACCGGATCAGTACAAATGCAACAATCACAAAGAGAGCGTGAAATTCTATTGCAAGACATGTGATGAGCTGATCTGCCAAGTCTGCACAGTTGTGGGTCATCCCACTGCTAAACATGACATCACTGACACCGGCACGGCTTCAAAAGACTACAGACAGTCACTGAGGAATGCTTTCTCTGCTTTGGGTAAAGACATACAAGGCCTTGAGTTGTGTCTGCAGGACACTATTGAAGCTAAGATGACAGTCAAGGACAACATGGCGAAGGCTAGAAAGGGGGTGCAGGACAAAGCTGCTGAGGTCATAGCGAAGGTCAAAGCTGAAGAGAAACGACTTCTTGATGAAATCACTACCCACGAACTGGAACAAAGTAAGGGACTGGATGAGCACGAGAAGACACTGAGTGACATGCTGCATAGAAAGAGGCATTCCCATAGCACCGGTAAGGACGTAACGAGTAATGCATCAGACTGCAACCTTATTTCACTCTATCCCGTGATCAGTAAAGATTTGACAAAGCTGAGCAGTCAGCATCTGGCACAGTATCCCCACAAACTTTGGTATCTGAGGTTCAAGAGGAGTCAGACAGCTGGTGTAATCGATCTGGGCAAGGTGGAGCAAGAAGGGGACAAGTGGGAACTGCAGCATAAATTGGGCAAGCAGGGGAGTGGTGAAGGGGAGTTTGAATTAGCCAGAGGCATTGCTGTTGCTGCTGACCCTGACGAGATTGCTGTGGCTGACTGCAAGAACAAACGAGTTGTAATCTGCAACCACCAGGGACAAACCAAGAACACCATTCAAGTCGTTGCAAGTGAGTTGTTAGTGCACATTGTAATGTTCAATGTAAAGAAATTGACAAGTAAGTAATTTGTGTGCATACATTTTAATTTCTTATCACATTTAACCTGCAATGAAAATATATTGACCTATTGGATTTTATATTATTTTCTCGTTCCGTTTTATACAGCGATTAAAAATGTTATCCGCGTCCTCTATTCCCTAGTTCTTTCTCTCAAATAAATTGCTATGAAATTTAAATTTCAAAAAGCTAATGAAACAGAAACAAAAAATGGTACTTTAAATCATCCCCAATGCCTTCCATTAATCATAGACATTATACAAAATCAGTTTCAGGATTCCCGATTCTCTCCTGTTTCAAATCACAGTTGTTCCTGAAGTTGCTTTGTAGTTGCTATTTACCATCCCACCAAGCTATTTTTTCTCTACCTCTTTGTTAGCCCTGTTTGCCCTTCAAATTAAAAATAATGTCCGTATCCTAATTTCGTATTGTCCTACGAAAGCAACCCACAAACAAATCGGGGTAAGTGAAATACATGTTTACCTACAAAGGTGAACAGCACCCAACTCACTCTTTGAAATGTGTTTTTACTGTTAAAAATGTCCCAAGCAAGGAGCGCCCCCTGGTGCCAGAAGGTGTGCTGATACATTTTCTTTTTCTACACCCTAATGAAGCATTTCAAAACGATGCTAGAGAAAAAAACCGCTTGAATACTTGAACATCATAATTCCTAATCCCATGTAACATTCCCAGTTTATGATGGCCATTCTTGACGAATCAAAAGATTTTTAATCAAAACCTATAGTTATTATACACACTCATTCGTGCACGTTGCATTTGCGTTTAAAAACAAAACTGCTTCGAGTGAATTGAACATGAAAAGGTTTGGTGTGGAGGATCACAATCACTTGACCATCAAACAGTCAGATATTTCTGTTAATTATTTGAATGATTTTTTTTTCACAAGAGTTAAATCGAAATACTTTCAGTTATCTGATCATTTCATTCAATTTTGTTTTGTTTTCCAGATGACGTCGTTGTTGTATCGAATCAGTGGGTGTGTGCTCATTCCGACAAGATGATGGTTTACCATAGAGACACTACGCACAAGTGTGACTTCCACGTCGTGCCGGAGGTTGGCAACGCAGACAATAGCCTGTTAAGCGTAGCAATCATGCCAAATGGTAACATCATAGCGGGTCTGAAGAAAAAGGTATTGATTGAGCTCGATCCCAGGGATGGTGATATTCTACATACCATGCCAGTAAAGATACGACCTGGCTTCTTGGTTGTACTGAGCAATGGTTGGATTGTGATCAGTGATTGGAAGCAGGGACTAGTGGAGATAGTGGAGGTTTCTAATGGCAACGCTGTGACTGTAAACACAATCCGGCCAACCATCGACGGAAAACCGGTGAAATACTGCAAGGGTGTTTGCAGCAAAAGCTCGGGTATCTACATTGCAGCGGACACAGGGTACATCAAGACCGGTCACATACACCACTATAACTGTACAGGTCAGTTTGTCAGCTGCGTGGCCCAGGGTCTGTATGACCCCTATGGAATCACATTCACAGCTGACGGGCAGCAGCTGGCAGTGGCTGACCGGTACTCAGTTAAGATATATCACAAAGTGTGATGCCGACGATGTCATCCAGCATTAAACCGCCCTTCCAATGCCCGCCTTTGGGTCTGTTTATGCACGCTTGTATAAGGCCTGATGACGACCTTTTCATTAAATACATAAAGATAAACAAAACAAATAAGTAACTAAGGACTGACAACGTGCATGTTGAATGATGTCCTAATTTTGTCTCCCGTATGTATCCGTTCCTTTCTTCAACTTACCACTGACGAATTCTAAACACGAAGCGTTATTATTTTTTTCTGAATTGTTGAATTCAGACACCAAACACATAATTAAAAGTTTGAAGACACGCATCGTCGCCAACGGTTACTTGTAGCTAAAGATGTATGGATGTTTAATCTCACCTTAAATGAGAACTCTTCCACATTCAAGTTGCGGTCTGAATGTGACGCCCATGTCACGACAGGAACATATTTCTCGGTGAATGTTCATTGATTGTGGCTCATCCGTCGCTATGGTGATCGTAAACAGAAAATGAGCGATATTACAGACGAGACAAATTATGCATACAAGAGATGTAGTGTAGTTATTTCACCAAGAGCTAATTAAAAAACAAATCCAAGAAAACGAAAATGACATTTTGTTATAAAATAGCTCACTTGGTTGTTTGTTTTTTTTAATTATAGTGACTGCATGGATCTTGTGTTCCTTTTTTTTTTAAAGAAAATTTGAATTTTCTGTCAGTCTTACAAGATCGCGTGGCCAGCGGTCTACTTAACTTCGCTACTTTACTTCGTACACTTTTCTGAAAATTATTTCGATTACAAATTTCTCTCTCATGGAGGTCAACAAATGGAGAGCTGGGTAGTTTCATCACATAACTCAAGGAACCAGAAAATCTGTAAATAAATGCTTTGAGCGATAATTTTGTAGTAATTTGTGGAGCATTCTTTGTGCAGTAGAAATTGACAGGTAATTTCGACTTGAAATTGCATCGATTGTTTGTAAGTGAAAAAAATTGACATTTGAATTGGTTCAATGGTCTTTCACTTCGACTTGTTTGTATGCATGCAGGTCGTTTTGGAAGTGTTGGTCGATTACTAAGGAAATACTTGATTTAAGAGAATAAAGATATCGTTGGATGTGTTGGCAAAACGGCATCTACCGCAGTTAAAAACATACGAAAAGTTGTGGTAAAACTCTTGTATATGTACATCCAAATCGACCGTAGCCATGCAAAACGATTGTAACATGAATGAAAAGGTCATGTGAATACAATGATTTCTTGTCTAAATCAGAATTTGAGCGGGAAAAAAAGTGATGTCTCACGATCCATCATTAACTTTTCTAGAAGCGAAATATAAAGGAAAACGAACTGCTTATGTATATAAAAACGGAAATGCTCAGAAAGGTGTTATTAGCAATACAATAGTGCATTAAAGTTTCATGTAATTAGCATAAACCATCTTATGCACAACTGACAATCTGTGTTTCATACGAAATCCAATACTTGGAACAGTTTTAAATATATGTCGTTATAATCCATTAAAAAAAAGAAGGTTTACCCCAATAACTACTGGCTTGTACGTAGCTACCTTATTTCCACATTCCCTAACACATTTATCAAGATTCTATTAAATTCACAGTTTGAACATGTGTATGTTATCACTCGACCATGAGTTATCAGGGGAAAAAGCAAATCTTGCGTAAAAACAGTTTAACCTGTATTCAGTAGATATGTGTAAATAATCCAAAGCTGGTGTTTTTGACCCCACTGAGGTTATTTATCATTGTTGTCAGCAGGAATGTAGTCGAGTCCAGCACAAGTCCTTGCAAGTCCGTCACAAGTTATCCGTGCCAATCCGACTCACAAGCTATGCAAATGAGCTGTTAGTGTTCATCCACCGTTACTTTTGACTGGATTTGTGAATGAAAGTCTAATTAACTTGTGACTGATTCGACTACATACCTGGTTGTCAGCAATTTCTTTTTTCCGTGTATATGGCTATGTCTAATATATTTTTTTTTTTTAATGCGGAAATATGTTCAGTTAACAATCATTACAAATATTTCGGATCGTTTTGCAAAAATTCACTGTTTATACTTTACTGCAACGACATAGATATAAAACGAGGTGCGTAAATGCATTATGTAAAATGATCGATAAGGTCCAAAAGCGTAATCTAAGCAATTTGTGGTAAACTATTTCTGATAAATACGTCAAAAGAAAACACCACCATAACAATAACTGAAAATGGTGCCTTTCTGTGATTTTGTATTTGTCTTGAGTATTTAGTCTTGATTTGGTTTTGCTTTGAGTTGGCTTGGTTTGGGTTAGGATGGGCTAGGTTAATTGGTTTGGATGGGTTTTGTTGGGATATGCTGGGCTTCTTCGTAATTTGAAAACCATGACAAACATTGATTTGGGCAGTGGACACGCACGACATATAAGTCAATAGGACAAACCTGAACATAATTGTCCCAAAGCACAGCTGCGTGCACAACCCATAGATATTTCATCTCCAACATTGATTTAAAAAAAATACATTATATTCTAATCAAGGCTATATCAGCAAACCAGAGGCCAATTTCACGGCGCTGCTCAGTAGTCTGGCTAATAAAAGCAGGTTACTAGCCAAAACTCCACCATTTCTAACTGTAAACTTTTGCATTTTGTTTTATTCATCCGGTGATAGCTGGGGGAACTCCGTCGCCATTATATATTTATTTGGGGGAGACGCTCACGAAGATTTCCCATTATTTAATGTAGTTACCTTTATTTACATGTTTTATTTTCATCGTTTAATACCGCGAAGTTAATTTTTGATATCCCAAGATATCTTAGAGACGAATAGGCGAACTATGTGTAAGACATATTGGGGGACAAATATTGTAACTACTGCAAAACAATGTATCCTTATTTATTTGTGAAGGTTTGGAATGAACGTCGGTCGGTTTAACATATTCAAACAAATTGCAATAAAATTTAATCGTGTGCATTCATTAAGCCTAACCTGCGCGTCGGTTTGCATTTACGTCTCATTAAAGTTAACAATCCCAATATGTTGGCCAAATGTTGCCTTTGTCTGTATATAATTATTAATTCCGCGACTGATCAGCCACGTACAAGCACATTACTCTCGGCAGGACTAGGGTTCCTCAGTTGCCATCATGTTGCTAGGAGTGTTGTTTCTTCTGTTCCTTACCAGCCAGGAGGTCAGTGGTTTCTGGAAGAATGGGAGCTAGGATCCTACCTACTCACACTTGATAAGAATTATGTAGTCGAGTCCAGCATAAGCCCTCCACAAGTCAAGTCTAAAGTAAATCAGAACTGCCTTCACAATTCCAGCTACCGTAAAAGGAAGAGTGGATGATTGAAGTTCTGTTTCTAGTCAGGTTGACCTGAAATCTGGCTTCTATTTTGCATGGCACTTTTTAGGTTCAAAATTGACCCTTTTGTGTGACACTATTCCCGACCATTTTGCCGGAAACATTAGCAAAATAAGGGGTTTTTCTTTAACGACTTTTTACTTTGATTTGTAAAATTCCGAATTTAATACCAGTGAGGCAGAAGCTGCACTCTTGCAACAACATTGTCAAAAAAACAAGCTGGTTTATAAATACATGAATTAAATTCCTGATATGATTGGAATTTAGTCGCTATTGTCTTTCAAAAGTGTTTTCCTTGTCCGAAGACCTGCCACTTTATCCTTCTCCGAAATGCTCACGAGTGATGATTCTTAAGTTGAGCGCCTAGGCGTGTTTGGCCGTTTTCATTGAAATCCGAAAAGAGTATGAACAAACACTTCAAAAATCTGTTATAGTAAAGCTAGGCCAGACTATTCAATTCACAAGTGACAGTCAAAACTCAGTCAGTCAGTCAGTTAGTCATTGAGGATAGGCTCGTCTCTGGGTACAGCAAAATGTCTGTGACTTACCCACAATATTTTGTAAAGTGGGAAAACGTAGGATCTACGCCTCATTGCAATAACACTATCTTCGTATTTATTTCTGAACAAACAGGGTTTCTATCAGAAGAACCTGACATGCAACGACGCCGGAACCACGTGCCAGCTTTGCTACACTGCGCATGCTGATGACGGAAAAGCTTATTTACGTATGTTTTCTTGTATTATACATTCACGCAGGCTTACATTTTTGCCGGCTTTCTACCAAAATAATCCCCAGATGCAAACCATTAGTGCCACTTTGAATCCATCAGGATCATCACACACAGAACATGTGAAAATAAACACTGAACGTTTTCTAAATTTTAAAACCTATCCAAAGAAATGAGCCATAAAGTCGAACGGTAGACTGAGCACATCAATAACTGAAGGAAATAATGTTATTTTTATTCTTTTAAATTAACAAGACAGTAAGATAATTATCTGATTTTGACGAAGAATTAAAGTTGGTATATAAGTGCTTTTTGGGGGGTGTTTCACCTTGAAAAATAGATTTGTCGAATTGAATTGCTATTTTTCTAGCTTTACAATAGTTATGTGCTTTCAAGTGAGACGTCGAACGAAAAAATGGACACACACCAAGTATTCAATTATGTTAACTTTTGAATTAGGAGCGTTCTGTACATAATGGGTTGATGAAAATAGACATTGTGTAGAATTTAAAATGTTGAGGATTCCAATTGCTTAAACACTGTGCAACATTCTTTCAAAGACCTTTAGCTCAAAAGTGGCTTTGGAGACACGTGACTCATTTTTGCAGAGCGGGTCACATTTACAAACCAGACTGCCAGATGTTGTCTTCGTCTATATTCTGCGACTGATCATGCATTCATTAAGCCTAACCTGCGCGTCGGTTTGCATTTACGTCTCATTAAAGTTTACAATCCCAATTTACAGACCACTTATTGCCCTCGTCTGTATACAATTATACAATTAATTCCGAGGCTGATCAGCCACGTACAAGCATATTACTCTTGGCAGGACTAGTGTTCGTCAGTTGCCATCATGTTTCTGGGAGTGTTGTTTCTTCTGTTCCTTACCAGCCAGGAGGTCAGTGGTTTCTGGAAGGATGGGAGCCAGGATCCTACCTACTCACACTTGGTAAGAATTCTGTAAAAGCAATAGTGGATGGAATAACTCACAGTTCATTAGGATAGCTTACGACGTCACTTTAAAGAGTCCCTGTTCAGATTGACCTGGAATCCGGCTTCTTATTTGCATGACACTGTTCAGGGTCAAAGTTGACACTTTCCCGGGTCAAAATGATATTTGTGTGACACTATTCTGGACCATTTAGACGGAAACCATAGCAAACTCAAGGGCTTTTCTTTTACAACTGTGTGAGCTTTTGATTTTGATTGGTAAAATCGTCGATATTCCGAATTCAATACTTTCAAGGGAGAAACTACCAGTTTTGGAGGTCTCGAGGCCGGCCTCGGCCTTCCGGCCTCGGCGAATCGGTCGAGGCCGCCCATTTTTATGTGTTTTCTATTCTAATTAATTTTAATTTTTTACCGTATCAAACCCTCGAGATTCTGCCGCAGTGGGTTCCGTGAAACGAACGCATATACAATGTACGCACGAATAAACTGGAAATGGTTGCATTGAACGTACTCACGCACGTAGCATCTTCGCCTAGCCTGCGCTTCAGCTTTCCACGTGTGTGCAAGCGTTATAACTGTTACCGCGTGCCAGACATCCATTTGCGTACAATAACATGTGGAAGTACACTAGTCTGGTTGCAGTGTTGTACAAAATTTTCTCGTTTCGCCTCTGTTCCCCGACCTTTAAAAATGATTTGCGGCAAGGTGCGGCAAGCTTAATCATTTCTTTTTATAGGCCACTGTTTCAGTAAAGGTCTGAACTTTCTGGGTACGATCGAGTGTACTAGTCCGTACCATTTTTTTTTTCATAAAGATATGATAAAAACAATTACGATTTATCAAGTAGATTTTATTTTTACACGGTGATTTAAATGAAAGTTCCGGCTCACACGGTAATGTTTGGCGCAAATGGTCGATATGGAAAGCGCGATTTCATAATTCGTTTTTCCATCCAAATTATTGCAAAGTTCTGAATGAATGTTTTAATAATAGGAGTCAGTATTCCTCGTGGTACCAGGATACTTTTTTGGTATTTTTAGAGCCATGTTTATACTTATTACATGTATAAGCATGGTTTGAAATTGACTAATTTTGCGTGGTTACAGATATACGGCCAAAACCTCTGGACTCCCTACCTCTTGCCATGATCTTAAAATTCTTCGAAGCCATTGGATTCAAATCGGATGATCCGAGAATTCATGGTCATTTTGATGAACTGAGTGATATCATGCACGCATGTTCCGTGTTGCCGTGTTGTTTGGAGCGGGATTGGCCATTGCCAGACTTTGTCTGGTACCGCGGTATTAACAGTGATAATGCGTGGACACTTATCCCGTTGTGTGGAGCGAGATTGGAACTATGCTTTGCCCGTGCGTAACGGCGGGCCGTCTGGCATTGTCTGGTCGCATCGCGGTGTTTGCTCGGCGCGCGCCTGGACAGTGCGAAGGTCGGGGGGTCGTAACTTTTTGATTATGAGTGGTAAAAACCTGGTTCAAAAATCAAGTTGTTGTTTATTTAATGGGGATTCCTATGATATTAAGCATTTTGATAGGTTTTGAAAATAAGATTTATAAAACATGCTAAAAGTAAATGATGTAAATCTTACAGAATAGAAACTCAAAATTTGGCCATTTAAATTGTTGTATCTCCAGGGGCAAACTCCTATGAGCCTGATTCAAACGCCATTGATTTTGTTGTGTAATGTGCTTTCAGTGATACAAAACTTGAGATTTCTTTCTTTAAAAAATAAAATTCGCCGGACTCCCTACAGAGGAAACCCATTGCAAGTTGCAAATTTGTAAGCCAGGCACTCCAAAACTCAGTGAATTCAACTAAAAAGATGTTAAAACTCCAAAATAATCTTAGCCTTGTTATGATTTTTATTTTATTACGTGTTTTGATAGCTGGCCTGGGCCTCGGCCTTGGCCTCGGAGGTGGTGGCCTCGGCCTTGGCCTTGGCCTCGCGGTTGTGGTCTCAGCCTTGGCCTCGGCCTCGGCCTCGGAGGTTGTGGCCTCGACTACAACACTGGAAACTACACTCTTGAAACATACTGGTACAGGGCGAGGCAGAATGATCTGGGCCAAAGTTCACCTTTTTTGATGGCAAATAGAGTGTTTCCTATGAATGGCTAATACTTTGTCTTCCACGGGAATTTTAAATGTTTTAAATAAGTGGCTGTGGTGAGGATTTATGCCATTTTCAATAACTTCAAGTGAGTCAGTCTCCGTGCCTAGGTTTTTATTTGCTTCACATAAGAACGCGATTTCAATAAACTTGTTGAACCATGGAACCGTGGTCAGAGTGTTTTTAGCGTGTGTTCTTTGCTAACACTTTTCTTCAAAATGGTACAATGGATATACATGCCTTTATATCTCATTTGCACTAGTTTTGATAATTGCTACATATTTTTTATATTTTCTTTATTTCGGGTCCACATCAGTCTTACTCACCCTGTACTCCAGAAATGATTGGAATTGTGGAAGCTACCTAAAACGCATGCAGTTGTCTGAGCTTTCGAATGGATTTTCCTTGTGCAAAGACTTATATTCAGTCGGTCAGTCGGTCAGTCAGTATTCATTTGGATATACACATCGAGGACATGCTCGTCTCTGGGTACAGCAAAACGTCTGTGACGTATATCCACTATCACTCTAAAGTGGGGGAATCCACAACCTACGCCTCGTTACAATGAGACTATTTTCGTTTTTATTTATTTTCCAACAAACAGGGTTTCTATCAGAAGAACCTGACATGCAAACGACGCCGGAACCACGTGCCAGGTTTGCTTCAATGCGCATTCTGACGGACGAGCTTATTCACGTATGTTTTCTTTTATTACATATTTACGCAGGCATACATTTTTGTCGCCTTTCAATAAAAAGAATCCAAAGATGCAAACCATGAGTGTCATTGGCTTTTCCGCCATCCACGGAAAAGCCATTGTGTTTGTTCAGATTGTCTTTGCTTTTCCGCTTAAAAGCGGAAAAGCGTTTGTTTTTGTTCTGATTTTATGTTTTCATATCTTTACCTGATGGAGGAAGCTGAAATCTCGTTTACACATTTCTTGTGTCCGGAATTACAAAGATGCTTGGTTTAGGAAAGGTAAATATGTCGGTGGGTGAAGTGTTTAAAGAAAATAAATCATAGATCTACGCTTTCGTCGTAATCATCCTCAGTATACATACTGCACTGCTGTACGATGTCGTTTCAAAGCTTCCTTACGCGCGCGCACGCAAGCATCCCTATAGCAACTGTGTTCCATACGCGCGCGTCAGTCTCACGCGATGGGGGTTGAGCGCATGTGCAGTGCTCTATTGTTACAAGCTACTGCAGGACTGTTACTATATTTTGACCAATCATTGGCTTGCATGGGGCTGAACGGGGCTTGATCAATGCTGGTTCAGGGGCCATTTATTCGCTTGATCTTTGAAGCCGGTCCATTATCACCGTTAATGCCCGGCCACGTGATCGAGTCTCGACCAATCAGAAACCATCAACTCTCCAAGGTATTTATTAATTCACATTAATTACAATAAGTGTCCGCGGCCTGTTGCATTATTCAAGGTCTATGCTGGAAGCATGAAAGTATTTCGCATAGAGCTATATTAAAATCGCAGGTTTGTAATTGAATCATAGCTTTAATATGTTGACTCCAGCTTACACACTGATGCAGCAACAAAAATGACATTTTTGCAATCGATAAATTTAAGATTTTAGTCAGTTACTGTGTTGTTTCAGTATGTGGGATTTTTCTAGTGTAGGTACCCGGAAAACAATGTCGTTTCAGTGGCCTCGGTCGCTCATCTCATAATAACCGGATTTACCGGTTTTAAGTATTATTTGGGGAGAAAAAAGTACATGCGCTTTTGTGATTTTTTTTTTTGGCAGAAAAAAAATATGCGAATTGTCTTCAACATATTTTAGCTACACTGAGATTCGCGTTTAACCAAAAGATGGTCATATTTAAAGATTGTTTCAATGAATTTTTATTTGCGGGGAACCAATGGAGATGTCCCAACCCCAATATACATTTATTTAGTACATGTATTTACCTGTTTTATGTTCATCGTGTTATACTGCTTAGATATTGATATCTCAAGATATCTTATACATCGAGGAATAGGCGGACTAGTGAGGGACAAATATTGTAACTACTGTAAAATAATGCATCGTTATTACGAATGTATTCGTTAAGGCAAAAGATGCGGGTCATTTATATTCAAATTTACAAACCAGACTGCCAGATGTTGTCTTCGTCTATATTCTGCGACTGATCATGCATTCATTAAGCCTAATCAGCGCGTCGGTTTGCATTTACGTCTCATTATAGGTTACAATGGCAGCTCTATGGTTACAATCCAAATTTACAGACCAGTAATTGCCCTCTTCTGTATACAATTATTAATTCCGAGGCTGATCAGCCACGTACAAGCATATTACTCTTGGCAGGACTAGTGTTCGTCAGTTGCCATCATGTTTCTGGGAGTGTTGTTTCTTCTGTTCCTTACCAGCCAGGAGGTCAGTGGTTTCTGGAAGAATGGGAGCCAGGATCCTACCTACTCACACTTGGTAAGAATCCTGTAATAGCAACAGTGGATGAAATACTGCTTAACTCACAGTTCATTTGGATAGCTTGCGACGTCACTTTAAAGAGTCCCTGTTCAGATTGGCCTGGAATCCGGCTTCAAATTTGTATGACACTGTTCAGGGTCAAAATTGACACTTTTCTGGGTCAAAATGATATTTGTGTGACACTTTTCCGGACCATTTAGACGGAAACCATAGCAAATTCCAGAGTTTTTCTTTTAACAACTGTGTAAGCTTTTGATTTTAATTGGTAAAATCTTCAACATTCCGAATTCAATACTTTCAAGGGAGAAACTACACTCTTGAAACATACTGGTACAGGGCGAGGCAAAATAATATGGGCCAAAGTTCACCTTTTTGTGATGGCAAATAAAGTGTTTCCTATGAATGGCTAATACTTTGTCTTCCACGGGAATTTTGAATGTTTTAAATAAGTGGCTGTGGTGAGGAGTTTAATATGCCATTTTCAATAACTTCAAGTGAGTCAGTCACCGTGCCTGTAGGTTTTTATTTGCTTCACATAAGAACGCGATTTCAATAAACTTGTTGAACCATGGAACCGTGGTCAGAGTGTTTTTAGCGTGTGTTCTTTGCTAACACTTTTCTTCAAAATGGTCATTTGCACTTGTTTTGATAATTGCTACATATTTTTTTCATATTTTCTTTAATTCGGGTCCACATCAGTCTGACTCACCCTGTACTCCAGAAATGAGTGGAATTGTGGAAGCTACCTAAAACGTACGCAGTTGTCTGAGCTTTCGAATAGATTTTCCTTGCGCAAAGACTTATATTCAGTCGGTCAGTCGGTCAGTCAGTATTCATTTGGATATACACATCGAGGACATGCTCGTCTCTGGGTACAGCAAAACGTCTGTGACGTATATCCACTATCATTCTAAAGTGGGGGAATCCACAACCTACGCCTCGTTACAATGAGACTATTTTCGTTTTTATTTATTTTCCAACAAACAGGGTTTCTATCAGAAGAACCTGACATGCAACGACGCCGGAACCACGTGCCAGGTTTGCTTCAATGCGCATTCTGACGGACGAGCTTATTCACGTATGTTTTCTTTCATTACATATTTACGCAGGCGTACATTTTTGTAGCCTTTCAATCAAAAGAATCCAAAGATGCAAACCATGAGTGTCTTTGGCTTTTCCGCCATCCACGGAAAAGCCATTGTTTTTGTTCTGATTGTCTTTGCTTTTCCGCTTAAAAGCGGAAAAGCGTTTGTTTTTGTTCTGATTTTTTTTTTTTCTTTTTGTTCTTATATACCAAATCCCATAGTACACGATTTTTCTGAACACGATTTGTAAACATTGTATCTTAACCAAACTTGACATAAGGGAGGACCCCTACCCAAAGACATTCCGCTTAACACGACTCCACGATGACGTCATTATAGGTCATGTGACGTCCTCTTAAGGTGTATATTTTAAAGCCCTACATCTAGAGAACTGTTTGTCCGATTGGGTTGAATATCGGTATTATTATTTATATAGACAGGGATGTGTTATAAGTAAAAAAAAAAATGAGGTGAAGTAATGATGAGGTCATCGTAGGTTATGTCACGTCATCCTTAAAGCTACATATTTTAAGGTCCTGTATCTAGGGAACTGTAAGTATGATTGGGTTTAAACTTGGTATGTAGGTATACTGGGATGCGTTATAGGTAAACATGTAAATGTCGTTATGGTAACGTCACCGAGTGATTTTATATGGATTTTTGAATTTTTGAACCTTTTAGCCACATCTCATTAACAGAACAAGCTAAATTCAAAATTCTTTTTGTAAGAGGTATGTTAAATATGTCATACATATTTGTTCACCAAAAATTGAAAAGTGTGTGATGCCATGATGACGTAGTCAAATATGCAATTTTTAAATCACATATAGGGTTAGGTCTGCTCTTGGATAGGAAGAAACTATTATTAGTATACAAAATCCGAAGTGAACGTTATGTTGACGTCATCACCCGAAGTTTTATTAATTCTTTACCTTTTTACAATTTCTTCTTGGTTGGAGTCTGGATTTTATAGTGTTCTTATTTTTGTAAAATTGATTTGTAGACGTGATCCAATATACGACCGAACCCTACAAGTTGGAATTTACCAACTTCGCCGGAAGTCATGAACACAAATACTCCATCAGTCAAGGTGAGTGATAATAGTAAAAACAAACAAACAAACAAACAAACAAATAAACAACCCCAACAACCCAACAAACAACCCATAAAACACACGAATCACCACCGTATAAGATTATATGATTATGTTCAATTAAAGTGGTGTACATGTATTTCATAATAGTGTGGCACGGTTGGAGTTTGACAAGCCTTTATCCCACACACAAAAATATATTTATTAGCCTCGCGCGAGGAAGAGCGGTTACCCAGACGCAAGGAGGAGGGATACTTAACGAACGGCGGACTAAGCCCTGTTGTTGTTTTTTGGTTGAAATATACCACCGCTCTGTTAATTGAATTAGTAGTGTGGCGAAACAGTCGGTGGACTGGTGCGAGTTTATCTTGGCTCGCCTGGTTCCCCGACGTCGCGCACGTAGTGTATAGCGCATTGTCAGATGTTCAGGCGGTTCGTCTGCAGGCGCCGTGGAGTGAGCATCGGAAAGCGATTTGTGCCGATTAGGCCCAAAAAAAAGTCTCCGGTTTCTGGTATGCGCGCGCGTCGCCGTAGCCATGCGCGTCGGCAAAATGAAAACGTTTTTTTTTTCAATGAAAGATGATGTCTCAAAACCGCCAAACTCACTGGTTTGACTGGAATCATGCTGCTGCACAATTTTAACGTGTTTTTAGATTGGGTTATGGTCGAGAATAAGCTTTATGTGGCCTCTCTGGACTCCCATATAACAATCAGGTACAAAAAAAAAAAAGCCGCGTCGCCGCACCACTTTTTGGGCAAGCTCCATACCAGAAACCGGAGACTTTTTTTTTGGCCTTAGAAGATAAACGAAGGACGCTCACAGGGGGAACGGAATGATAGAAACGCGTTAAAGGGTATGAAACGAACTCCAGTGATGTGCACTGAATGAGACACAATAGCATGAATCTGGCAAAGGGACAGAGACAATGAGCATACAGGATGGAATAATACTTTATTTATTCATGAAAAAAAGTAAAACTGCTGCAAACTGCTTACTGACTGGATGGACCTGAAATATATAAATCTAAAATTAATGTGGCCTGACGTTGCGAACTTAGCAAGTTCTTCTTCAGAGGCTAAAACAGAAATGACAGAGATACATACATTAACATGGGGGTGCACACAAACATGCAGGGCTGAAAGAAGAAACACAAAAGGAGGATTAGGAGGGAAAGGTGTGGAAAGATGCAGGGGAGGGTGGATGAGAGAACAAAGAAACAAAGGGAGATGGCAAACCACAAGGGGTCTGGTGTAAACAGGGGAGGGACCAGAAAGGGGAAGGATCAAAGGTCACAGGGAGTGGGAACGGACAAAAGAGTGTGAGAGTGAAGGGATGATGCGGGGGGGGGGGGGACAGTATTGAGGTGGAAAGGGATGAAAGATAGCGGGAGATGTGTAAACACAAACAAGGAAGACCAGATGGATTATCTGTAACAGAGGACAATGGAGGAAGAAAAGGATTAATCATTTCCAAGTTGGATGTTGAGACCATGTGGTTGAATAGTTCGAAGACGATTCATCCACACCTTCTCTCTGCTGAGGCGAACTGACTCTTTGCGATGGCCAAGAGATTCAATGCCCTGCAAAATCATATCAGAAATTTATTTATTCAGATTAATTGGTAAAAACACCTGTCTCCCAAAAATACAACTATCCAATTAAAAGTAGTATACCAAATTTGATTAAAAACCGTCCAACAGAGTAAAAATACATTAACAACAATAATTCCCTTAATTACAATAATTCCCTGAATAATATGAAAAATCTGTGCGACAATTACATGTAGTCGTGTATATTATAATTATTTTGAGTTGCATTATAACAGTGTGTTAATTATCTCAAATTTCTGAAAGATTAACGAAATACAAAGCCAATTGCAAGACTGAGCAGGAAAATATATACTAGAAAAACTGCATAGTTATATTTCTATTTGATAGCATTTTTTAATACAACCGTTGAATGTCAATGAATCGAAAAATAAAAGTTTTGAATTTATGGGACGGAGCAGCTTTTTGTGCATTTTCACTTTGACGTAGGCCATGATGACATTTCATGCCAGATTGACTTATTCCTTAAACTTGAGCAGCCTTCGTATTTCTTAGACCTCATGGGTAGACTTTATGCGTATAGCGGCCATCTTAGAGGGCATCCTTCGTTATTTTAATTCAGTAACAATGAGTGCTTAAAAAGGTTTAATTCTGGTATTTCACAGCAAGACAAATGTATTGCCTTGATGACTGCTACCTATAAGGTCCATTATACGCCTTTTTGAAATATTGTGGGCAAGAGAGAGCGCCTTTTTTACAGTGGGTGACCTCTCTTGTATATTCACCCCGCAAATGCATTATATTATGTTATTCATTTTTTAAAAATTATTTCATTGAAAATAAAACATGACAAAAAATAAAAAGCCCCGCTTCCTCCTTTTTTTTCAAACACCCGGACGAGAAACATGTTTTTTTCTATTCGGCCTAAGGAGCCAGCCGACAGGTTGCTTGTATGAGGCTGCATCCTAAGGCAAAAAAAAAAAGTCTCCGGTTTCTGGCATGTGCGCGCGTCGCCGTTGCCATGCGCGTCGGCAAAATGAAAACTTTTTTTTTTCAATGAAAGATGATGTCTCAAAACCGCCAAACTCACTGGTTTGACTGGAATCATGCTGCTGCACAATTTTAACGTGTTTTTAGATTGGGTTATGGTCGAGAATAAGCTTTATGTGGCCTCTCTGGACTCCCATATATTTGCACTAAGTTTAGTCGGGCACCATTTGCAGTCATCAGCCGACATTGGAAGCAAAAAAAAAAAAAAGCCACGTCGCCGCACCACTTTTTGGGCAAGCTCCATACCAGAAACCGGAGCCTTTTTTTTTGGCCTTAGTGAGTTAACCTCGTTGTAGTGTGGGCAACACGGCGCGCTGTTGAGGGCGAATGGTGAGACTTTAGAGTAACAATAAGCAAGCGAGACCTTTTATTGTAAAGGGGAAATTAGCCTGGGTGGCTGTGGGTTGAGCTGGTGACTGGGGACCTAAGGTTCGTGTGGTATGTGCAGCAATATTTCCTGGTCGGAAATTGGGTTGCCTGTAGCCTGTCGACCTTTTGTCGCCAAGAGTCACCTCGGGGTTTATAAACCGCGCTCCGTAACGTGAGCCAGCGCTTATTGTATGTTAGGTTGCATGTGAGGGTTACTCTGGTAGGTAAAGTCTTGATCAGTGTGTGCAGTTCATAACTTGTTGCTGTTGATCGCACTGGGTGTGCACAGTGAGGTTCTTGCCACTGTGGGGTAATCGTTTGGGGGAACGAGGTTAATTACATAGAGCCCTGTTTAGGCTGGGTTTTGTAATCATTGTACAATAAAGTGTGTATTGCTGTGTAAGGCTTAAGGGTTAACGTTGCTCTGCGAGGTTTAGTTGCACTCATTGAACCTTGTGTACTTGGACTAAATAAAGAGTTGTTTCTTGTTGCTCTCTAGGCCACATGTGTAGTGAGGTTTATTGAGGTTCCCTGGTCACCTCTAGGTTGCTTGCCACGTGAATGTAATTCCTTAAGGGTTGGTATATTTAAAAAAAAAAAAAAAAAAAAAAACAGACAGGCCTAGGACTTGAATTCTCCTTTTGTGACATTTTCTCCCCTTATTTGCGTGGAGTATTTTTAATTGATTATTAGTTTCTTAAATGTTTAAACTTGTATCAAAGATGGGCGGACAAACTGTAACGTACATGTAAGTTGCCGTTGCGAAAGTTACCTTCATTTTAGGGTATGTGGCCAAAATCTGATATGAGATTTTCTTCATTACCTTACTGATAAATTCAGTTACCAGTAAATAAATGGTGTGATGTTACCTTTATCAATGCATGTCCAGTATGAGGAGACTTGTGAATCAAGACTATGCGTCCGTTTTATGTAACGAAAGTTACCAAAGTTTAAACTTTTGCCATTCCATCCCAAAAAAAAGCTTTTCCGCTTTGAATTCATTTTGTTCAAACAGACTATGCTACGTGTTTAAATGAAAAAAGTCTGACTGTTGAAACCAATGCATTAAGTTGTGAGACTCGTGTATGCGTGTCAAAGTGCCTAAAAAGGTAACAAAAGTTACTGTGAAATTGCCCAAATAGTAAAGACGTCAGTTTGTGTGAAAATTTTTACCGACAGCGGCAGGAGATGCGTTTTCTGCTGCGCATGCAAAACAGGGAAATTCCTGAGATCGCATTAGCACGACTGTTCTCTTCCCTTATTTTGTGTTGTTTTGCGTCCTGTTACGTTCCGCAGATGATCCAACCCAGGCCAACCGACTGTGTTACGAGCTCCAAACGACAGACGAGAAGTTTGTTCTTTGCCTGGATACTCGCTTCCCTCCCGGTGTAGTGGTGCCGGACACCTGTGCCTCACCCATCGCCGTGGTCTCACTGCAATTTAACGTTGGAGACAAGGAGATGAGGGGCGTACAGGTGTTAGTGTGTAAGCCTTAGCAATCAGGGGCGGCAATGTAAAGGGTGAAGTTTAGGCCCCCTCAACCAACCAACCCCCCTCCCTCCACCACCACCCCACCTAATGATATACGCACAAAAGTGGTAATACTGTCGGCAAATAGTATACAAATAAGGAATTTTTCGAGTGGTGAAGTAAAACTATAGCCTCCCGAGGTGATCCATTGACATTCTAGGGAGGCTAGTTTTACTTCACCATGAGATAAAGCATTCATTGTTTGTTTTATAACACTTCACCCACAGATTCTGCTTGCTTTTAATGTTTTAAATTATTTAAATCTGAACACGGTTAAAATAACCTTTAATTTCAATACAAAATTGGTGGGAAATGCATTTCTCTCTTCCAAACCACCCCTTCACGAAATTTTTGAACCCAACTCAGCAGTGATAGGTGTCTGTACGCCATCCCAGGCCCATGCATTGTGATTATTGTAACGTAATACTCGAGCAGTAGTAAGGTCTTCGTGGGGGAACGTCTGTTTCTGTTACTTTATTCGACACGTTAATAAAATGACCGATGAACTATTCTTCTTGATTTCCAAATGATTGTTTATTCCTTACTGTCTTTAATTCTCAATTGGATTTAATCACACATTATTTCTGGTTTGGTACTGACCTAATCCTGACAGCTGAACGTTAGTTCTCAAACACTGCTTATAATTCCTTTGGAACCTCTCTCGAAGCCCGCCAAACGTGAACTGCCTTTTCAATCCGCGCGCCAAGCAAGCCAAAAATCTTAAGCACGTAAGCTGATCATGTAGTGATCACGCGGTGATCACGCGGTGATCACGCGCCGCGCATGGATCAGGCGACCGGAAGCAGCTGCCAGGAACTAGGTCCGTGTCAGTGTATAGAGCCGCCAGGCGACCAATTCGCCACAGTATTATACCTAAGGCCAAAAAAACTCTCCGGTTTCTGGTATGCGCGCGCGTCGCCGTAGCCATGCGTGTCGGCAAAATGAAAAGGGTTTTTTTTTTCAATGAAAGATCATGTCTCAAAACCGCCAAACTCACTGGTTTGACTGGAATCCTGCTGCTGCAAAAATTTAACGTGTTTTTAGATGGGGTTATGATCGAGAATAAAGCTTTATGTGGCCTCTCTAGTCTCCCATAAAATTTGCACTAAGTTTAGTCGGGCACCTTTTGCAGTCATCAGCCGACATTTGAAGCAAAAAAAAACAGGTCAGTAAAAAAAAAAAAATAAAGCCGCGTCGCCGCACCACTTTTTTGGGCAAGCTCCGTACCAGAAACCGGAGACTTTTTTTCTTTGGCCTAAAGCTGATGAGGTATATTTGTGTAGAAAAAAAAACGCTGCGTTTATTCCAAGAGGGAAATTGGTAAGACATTGATATTCAGATGCACAATTATTTCTTCAAAATGTGCTCCGTACGTTAACAAATAAGTCATTAAGAAGGAATTGTGTTTGACACCCCGGTGAAACATGGATCCGGATGCGGTGAACGATGCTCTGTACTACTCACAATGCGGCAAGCAGCATCGGCATGGGCGACGATCCCGATGAAAATACATGTCCTTTCCTCGCCCCAAAGTTTACTTCCTGTTTTAAACTTAAATTTGTATTTAATTATCTATTTTTCAGCTGATGGACGGCATCAACAATACACTGTAAACAGAACCCGTAAAAACACTGTCAATTTCCCGTACTTTTTACGGTTTATTACCGTTATTGCTCGTATCGTCACAAGAAAGAACGCGCTACGTGCATTTCCCGTAAAACTTGGTGCCCTGACGCATGCTGGGATTCACAATGCTTTGTATTCGTAACTTTTCAAAACCCCTCCCCTTTCAAACCCTCACAACCGCCTAGTTTTTAAAGCTGTGATTCGTGTGCACTCACGCAACGTTCGCTACGTGCTGATCATTGGGACGTCACAGCCGTAATGCTTTGATATTGCGGAATTTGGAGAGCCAAACAGCTAATCCTGCGGTGTTGACCAGCAATAGGTTGACCCCTTTCTGTGGGATCGGTAAAAAGTTGTAAATGAAAATTACAACTTACAGATGCAAGTTATGTTACAACTTAAAGATAATTTCACATTAAGTGATTTGAAAACCACTATGCGTGTAAAAGACAAGCTGCAAGACGTATGCATACCCCACTCCCTTTACCCCTACACTCAGCTCTGACGCCACCCACTTTGTATTCCATTACTTTACGGCAAATTGCCGTCAAATTTACGGGAAATTCGCGTTAAAATTACGGTCACCGTCATTTTTGGAAACCCGTAACTGACCGTAATTTTACAGTCTTTTGTTGGCAGCCCGTTTGACAGTGCTTTTACCGTAAAATTACGGGCAAATTTTTTACAGTGTACCCCTGTGACTTGTCCATTTTTGCGTAGATTCCAATCGGAGTTTTCTAAATTAAAAATATATAACTCTGTAAAAAGATGTAAAATAGTATTCGTCCACTACCGATTTTATATTGAAATCTAGTTGAACACTATAAATAGTGAGGAGAATAGGAATAAAAGGGGTTTGTATGCATTGATGTTAAAATGTTTGGCTTTTTTTTACAGCACACCTTGATTCAGGTGGCGAAATAAAAACCGATCTCGACAAACAAAAATACTCCTAAGTACCGTCATGTTTCGCAATAGGAATTTGAAGCTGTTTAGTGGGTTTCACATTTTCGGGTCCATTTCGAATGTGATGTTATCGGGAGTTAAAGTACGTCTTGAGCCCAAACGGTTTTACAGACAACCGTGTTCAAGGAAACTCATATACGGGAACAGTTGGGGGGGGGTGGTTTTTTTTACTTTGGCCCTCCCCAAGAGAACATAAAGCTAGTAGAAAAACCACAGCTAAAGTTCATAGATTATGAGCAGGGGGCATGTTAAAGGAAAAAATTATGGACAGTTGATTTAAAAGATTGGCTAGATGGAGCTAACACAGCAAAAAAAAACAGCCAAAAATCGCCCGAACTTTTGAAAATTTGTAAAAAGAAAAAAAAATATGGTGCAAGGTTGCAGACTTGAGTGCTTGAGTGATTTTTTTCAGTTGCTCTCCCCGTACCAAATACAAGTCCCCCCCCCCCAAAAAAAAAAAAAAAACCAATCTAACCGCTTTCCACTTTTGAATGACTTATCGAACGAAAACTCGCCAACGTACAGTTATGAAATATTCACAATTCAGATTTTGAAGTCCTGAAGACGGTCAGAGCATACTGACCGGAACGTCGAGTTTATACCTCTGGTTCTTTTCAGAACTATTGTCTTAGTTGAGAAATTGTTCTTACATCGTGTTTTCGCGGTTACACCTCTATGTTCCGACACCCCTATGTTCCGACTGCACATATTCCTATTCCTAACCCTAACCCTAACCCTAACCGGGAGTAACACAATCTAGGTTGTCGGAACATAGGGGTGTCGGAACATAGAGCAGTCACCGTTTTCGCAATCCTTTCATTCATTAGTATATCCACCATACATAGCCTCAAATCTTACTATATTTAGATTTGGATTGATATGTGGCCCGATAATCATTCAGGCATATCTTTTGTGCGTTTTGGGTTCAAAAATGACCAAAACAAAAGTGTATTTACCGAGGGTTAAGTTACTGCGTGGTGTGGAATTAGTGCCACCTGATATCAAGAAAATTAAAATCCTAGATATTTGTCACTATCTCTCTAGATTGGATGAAAGGCTTGTTTCATTGGTAAGAGGAGTCATGGAAATTATAACCCCCATATACACACACAAAGAACTCATGAGGTTAATAAATATTTAATTACCATTAACTGTCTACACCATGTATGAAAGAAAGAGCGCATAATTCAGGAAGACAATGGCTCGACAAAAACTGTTTAAAAAATGGTTATAATAAACAGTACTCTGATATAAACTATGCTGCAGTGGTGTATAAATACTTCCTTCTCAAACCCAAGCCTGTGATCAGAGGCCACCGTTTGCATAGCGATGCTCAACAAAAGAGTGCCAAATTTTAGAACCTAGAGGTGGCTCAGAGGTCATGGATAGATTGTACACAGTGGCACGTATCCATGGAGCTAACGTGTGGTTGGATTCAAGTTGTAAAGGATGCATTCACCGCGCTATTTTCGAGTTTTCACCTCGAATTATCGATATTTGCTTTTCGTTTGCTTTATTTTCCTGGCATTAAAACAGTCACACACTTCTGAACGATAAAAGACCATTATCATGTTGCAGCCGTTTGGTTTTTTTTCCCATTCAAATCAATGTAACCAAAGCGAGGCTGGAAGGAGAAATAGTCTGGTTCCTTTTTGCAGAAAAAAATCATATAATACTGTTATTGGATACAGGAAACATGACTAAAATGATGTAAACATGATAAAGGTCTTTTCCCCCTCCACCTGCGTTGAGTTATTGAGTCACCATTGTCAAAAAAATCTGAAAGACTGGCTGCTAGACAACAAATCCGGCTCTCACAGGGTGGGTGTGGGTGTGCGACTGTGAGCTTGTCTTACATACGCAGTGTGGACTTCCGAACAAAAGACGTCCACATAATGTAGGTAGCACCGACGTTGTGTGGACTTGCCCCACGTCCACACAGTGTTTCCCCATTTCTGGAAAACAGGTTTAGAGGCATTTTTGGGTTAGGTTTATCTGTAGCAGAATGAAGAGAAACACTAAAGGGAATCATAGAAAAAAAATTGGGTTGAAAGAGTTTTCACAGTTTGAGAAAAATGAGTTTTTTCACTGGTTTTTCTTAACTACACGAAAGCAATGGAAAGTCCACACTAGTCATGTGAAACAAGTATGCGTGGGTGGGTGAGTGGGTGTGTGGGTGTGTGTAGGGGGAAGGGTGTCCAATTATGCGCAAAATAAAATCCCATTTTCTGAAGGTTGAAGACGGCCACAATAGGAGTAAAGTATTTGTTTGTGCTAAAACAAGGTAGGCTATACACGTTGGAACGTTAGGGGAAAAAACAAATCCGATTTACTTGAAAAGCAAGGCAGCTTTAAATACAGGCAAAACAGTATTTGAGCTTATGTTGCACGCAAAAGAAACCCACAACGTTTAATCGGATTGTGTGCATTCTCGCAGTACAATAAGTTGTGAGGAATTATTGACTTGGAATATAGTTCAATTGATATTTTATGCCATGTCGAAGCGATTATTACCAAGACAGGGGCAGATCCAGGAATATGTGCAGGCAGGGAGAGGGGGTTCATCAGCACAAAAATGCTGAAACTTGGCCTCCGTACAATCAATAGGTGGGGGGTGGCTCGTTCCATACTTTTAACGGGGGCGCTGTTTAAACCTAACGATCATCAACACTATATTTTAAACGATTTGTGTGGATCCCGCGGTGTTCGTGATAGCGGCGTTCCACTGTATTGAGTTTCCTGATTCTAAATATGGATCGCACAATTTCGTGGAAATCCTAACGACGAATCCATCAAGACCACGACTCCATTTAAATCCCATACACCTCATGCCTGATGTTCAGTTTGGGATCAGCGGGAAAAGAATGAAAACATGACATACGGGGCAGGGTGGGGGTTGGGTGGGGGTGGGTGGGCGGCTTGATAAGTCCTTGTTGTGGAAACGACCATCACTGTAGCTTGCAGCACATTGCGGTTGACGTAACCTTCCGGTGATATGCACTTGAAAAACACAGAAAGAAGGTTGATTTAAACGGTACATGTAGTACACTCTAAAATAATCCGGGTTTCGTTTCGCTTAATACCTTTCAGGTTCAAAACTGACACTATTCAAGGTCGAAATGATACTTCTTTGAATCGTTTCCGGGTCATGTTCGCCCTTATAACCATGGCAACGGTGTAATTGTCACCCACGGGCCCTGAAAAGCATCAGGCCGAAGGGAACCAGAATTCCGGATCTATCTGACCATAGACTTTTAGAGTGTAATTTATCCAATTTGCACCTACGCCACGTACTGAAGTTGTGTGTACATGTTTTCACAAGTAAAGGTCATGAAGAAAAATAGTGAATTGAAAATGTTCCAACCTCGTCCAACTGATCAGGCTTACGCTTGTAACTGTTTTCCCTTCCGTTGCCTGTAATGCTATAATAATAGATGAGGTTTTTGTCATGAGAGGGCCGACGCAACTGCCCAATAGCATGCACTTCTATCACTTACGACAGAGAGATGTCCCTTGTTTTATACTGGCCCGCCTCCTACCTAATTAGCAGGAACTCCAAGCAAATATCAATATAAAGAAAGATTTCATCAGGTAAGTGCACTGCAACTGATCTTGGTATGAGGGATGTCGGACGTACTTGTAAGTTACGATGCACTTGTAAGTTTACCGGTGTGCGGCAACAGCGCCACCTTGCGGTGGCCTTGGCATTCTTCACGTTGCCATCGCCTCCGCTGTTGGCCTGTCCGCTGCACACCAACTTTCAGGTAAATTTCTCTATTTTGTTTAACTGTAAATTCCATTTAATTTAGATAATCATATTTTTGGGGAATATAGCAATTGTGGGACAACTTTGGTAACGTTTAAAGGGATATATAAATGGGTAATTTAGGTCAAACTTTTCTGTAACTTTTCGATCGATGAACAAATGGAGGCCCTCTTGCGGTACGTTCAGAATAGTTCGTATACATGTACATGTATCTCATGCCCAAAATTGACGATGCCATGACTGAAAACTATTGTTGTTATCCTTGTATTAAAGTTGTTGCAATCATATGGATCTTCAGTGAAGTTAGTACTAAGGTTTATTCATTTTGACTTGACACATATAAACAAGCTTTTCTGTTCTTTTAGTCACATGAAATTGTACATGTAAATGCACATGTAGGAAGATTTATCACATGTAAACAAACATGTCCTTGGGGAATTTATAACGTGAGTGCCCTACTTATAAATATGATTGGAACTTGGATTTGTGTAGAATATGTGGACTTTAATTAAGCTGGATTTTATCTCTAAGGTGACACAGTAATTAGAGAGTAATCCGAGAGTACTTGTGAAATATTGATTCACAGTCTTTATTTCAATTCACATGTTAATTAATGACTCAAGTGACAACTACAGTAAACTCTTTGTCATTGCAGTCAGTAGGTAAGTCCATATACGGTAAACAAATTAGGCTTTCATTAAATTCCAGTAGGAAAACTGACCAGGGTAATTAATTTCCTGACGGTTCCTCAATTTAATGTGTCGTTATCTTGCATCAAAGTTCTCGTCTGATGATTTTCAAACTATACATGTATACATTTTGTCTTAAGTTAACTTTCAGGGAATACTTGATTTATTTTGTTTTCTCTCTCTTTTTATTTTGATTCCTCACGTTGCCATCGCCTCCGCTGTTGGCCTGTCCGCTGCACACCAACTTTCAGTGGCTGAAATAAACCATCACATAGAGATCCGAATCCTGAGTGTTCGCTGTGTGTTCTTCACCAAATCACCACAGCTGACCAAACAGCCCCCCCCCCCCACATTGGTTTTGACTTTTTTTCTTTATTGAATTAGGATGGTGCATCACCTTCATCATTTAGTCATAATTTAGTTGGACATTCTTATGAATTTAGAACATGAGTGAATGAACCACCAGCAGTAATTCCAATTGATTCCAACGGGCAAAATTTGCTATACAGTGCGTGCAAGTCAAAATAGCTCCGGCGACTTATTTTGGTCCATTGTTTTGGATTTGGTGACATGACACGCATCAGCTTTCTTTCATGTAATGATTTTGTTTTCTGTTTCGCAAGGAAAACTACCTTGATTTTTAACATCTACCTGGAGGAATTTTGTCACGAAAACCGTGCAAATTGGAGCCCATACCATAATTTACAAAGTAAGTCAGCTCCATACGCAGACAAAACGAGCGATAAAGCCAGTCGACCCATGTAGACTTTGGTATTAGACATGAGAGCTCCGTCAATTATCAATTAGCTTGAGCAACGTTTAGTCGGTCCTTTTTAAAGAGTCAAATTATTTTATCAACTAGCTTCAAACCGAGTGATAAATTATTTTTGCCATGTGATTTGCCATCAAAATATTGTCTTTTAAATTCAAATATTTCCAGAGATTCTAAAAAAAAAAGGGGGGAGGGAACTTTGTACATGTGGACTGAGCTGAACGCCATCTGAAACTAGGTGACGCTTTTCATGCACACATATTTACAGACGTCGACGCGAGTTTGCCGACAAGAGGGACGACTTTAATACGAACAGTAATGGCAGTTTTGGGTATGACCATCCACAGTTTAACTCCCTCACCTAGCAATGCCCGTGAGATTGGTTTGTCACAGAATCTTATGAATCAACGAAACCTGCTGTGATATATGCAATGTGCTCACAAATTATGCGCAGTCGGTACAGAAACAAGTTAAAAGTAAATAACAAAATGAAAGGAACAGTCTTTTCGTGCCTTGTTTTCAACATTTCTAATCGACTTCACAACAAAATAACGTCTTGGGAGAAAGTGTCGGTAAATAATTTTACATTAGGGAGACCTTTATTGTTAGGTTAATTGTATGTCTCTCTCTAGAACGGATTGTTATGCAAGTAGCATCATAAACAATTATCCTGTCGAAAATAGTCTAATATTTTGGAAAGGGGCATTTACAAATGGGGGTATTGGGAATGTTTTGCTTGTGCATTAGATTATTCGAATGGCTCCCTGAAGTGTCCCTTTGGTTGTTGTTATAATTGCGATTTTTGGCTCGTTTATTACATCTTAATAATAATGTCTATACGCATTACGACCTTCATCGATGGTTTTACACAATGCATTTACTTACTTCGATTTACATCAATGTTGTTGCAGTGAAGTAATGTGTTTTGCAAAGCAATCTTAAATATTTGTAATGAACTTAAACTGTACTTTTTCCGCAAAATATGATTTTGATTTTAGCAATAGCAATATACAAGGAAAGACTCACTGACAACCGGGAATGCAGTCACGTTTATCTTGAGTCAGTCACATGTCCAGTCACAAGTTCATCACAAGTCAATTCACAAGTCCGACTACAAGTGAAGGTGCATTGAACAATAACAAATGAATGCCAATGTCAAAGCTCATTTGACTAGCGTGTGATTTAAATTGGATAACTAATGTGACTACTTGCATGGGCAAGTGATTGACTCGACTACATTATTCCCGCTGACAACACAATAATTAATAACCGCAAAAGCGTCAAAATCAAGATGTTTTGATTATTTACAAAGTTGTAACAGTTTGTATGTATAATTTACTTTTTCCCCTGATAATTAATGGCTGAGCAATAATATACATATTTTTTGCAGAATCTCGATATGAATTATATTAACTCATTTAGGATATTTGGAAATAGGCTAGTTATGTATACGTCAGTAGGTATTTTTGTACTCGATAACGACATGCGATAATTTGTAAATAATTCCATAAAGTGGATTACAGGTCATACAAACTATAGGCCTACGCATTTGAATTGTGCATGAAAGGCTTTATCCTTCTTACATGAATTCAACCTTAAATACACTATTTTATTGCTAATAATAACTTTCTGAGCAATTCCTTTTTTTCACACTGCAACAAAGGCATTTTTTTTTCATTTATATTTCGCTTCTAGAAAGTTGGTGATGGGTCGTGAGACATTATCACTTTTTTGTTGAACAAAAATTCTGATTTTGACAATAAATCATTGTAATCACATTGAAGGTTTTCATATTATGTTACAAGCGTTATACGTGGCTACAGTCGATTTGGATGTACATGTAGAAGAGATTAAAGCAACGTTTCATATGATTTTAACTTCGGTAATTGCCGTTTTGCAAACTCATCCAACGATATCTTTTTTTTTTTAATACATGCATTTCCTTAGTATTCGACAAACACCTCCAGAACGACTGACATGCATACAAATAATTCGAAGTGAAAAACCTTTGAACCAATTCAAATGTCGATTTCTTTACTTACAAACAATTGATATCATTTCAAGTCGAAAGTTATTTCTACTGCCAAAAAAGAAGTGCTCCAACAATTTGGAATGTTGTAGTGTACCACAAATTACGGCTAAAGGAATTATATTTACAGATTTTCTGGTTCTTTGAATTATGTGATGAATCATCAAGCTCTCCTCTTGTTGACCTCCAAAACTGACATTAAATTATCATTTTCTTAAAAAAGAGCAGAAGATCCAGTCGCTATAATTTCACAAATCAAAATGACATTTTCGTTTTATGATTTTTTTTTTCTAAAAAGCCGCCTGTGACATACATGTAACTACACTCAAATCTTGTATTCTGTCGTGTCTGTCATTAATTTTCTGTTTGCGATCATCGTAGTGACGGATGACCAATAATGAACATTCACCGAGTAATATGTTCCTGTCGTGACATGGGCGTCACATTCAGACCGCAGCTTTAATGTGGAAGGGTTCTAATTTAAGGGAAGATTAAACATTCATACATCTTTAGCTTTAAGTAACCGTTGGCGACGATGTCTTCAAACTTTGGGGTCTGAATTGAACAATTTAGAAAAATATAATAACGCTTCGTGTTTAAAATTCGTCAGTGTTGGAAGTTGAAGAAAAGAACGAATACATAATGGGACATAATATTAAGACATCATTTACATGCTCGTTGTAAGTCCTTTGTTATTAATTTGTTTTGTTTATCTTTATGTATTTAAATGTATACCTAGGCCTCCATTAGGCCTTATACAAGCGGGCATAAACAGACCAAAAAAGGGGGCATGGGAAGGCGGTTTTATACTGGATAACATCGTTAGTATCACACCTTGTGATATATCTTTACTGAGCACAGGTCAGCCACTGCCAGCTGTTGCCCATCTGCTGTAAATGTAATTCCATGGGGGTCGTACAGACCCTGGACCACACAGCTGACAAAATGACCCGTACAATCATAATGGTGTATGTGACCGGTGTTGTACCCTGTGTCCACTGCAAGGTAGATACCCGAGCTGTTGCTGCATACACCGTTGCAGTATTTCACTGGTTTACCGTCAATGGTTGGCTGGATTGTGCTAACAGTCACAGCCTTGCCATCAGAAACCTCCACTATCTCCACTAGTCCCTGCTCCCACTCACTGATAACAATCCAACCATTGCTCAGTACAGCCAAGAAGGAAGGTCGTATCTTCACTGGCATGGTGTGTATGATATCTCTATTCCTGGGATCGAACTGAATCAATACCTTCCTTTTCTCATCACCCCCTAGGATGTTACCGTTGGGCATGGCTACTACACTCCTGAGCTGCCCGTCTGTCTTGCCAACCTCATCCTCTGGCAAAGTGTGGAAATCAAACTTGTGCGTGGTGTCTCTTTGGTAAACCATCACCTTCTTGTCGTCAGTACATACCCACTGATTCGATACGGCAACGACGTTATCTGAAGAAAAAAAATGATTTTAAATAAACTGATCAGATAACTGAAAGTAATTTGACTAGTTTCTCTTGTAAAAAAGTCATTCAAATTATTAACAGAAATACCTGACTGTTTGAAGGGCAAGTGATTGTGATCCAACATATAGCTTCTCATCCTCAATTTACTCGGAGCATTTATGTTTGAAAACGCATATGCAACGTGTACGAATGAGTTGGTAAAATACATATATGGGTTTTGATTAAAAGCCTTTTGACTCGCAAAATGGCCATTATAAACTGTGGATGTTACATGGGATTCGAAATTATGATGCTCGAGTATTCTAGCGTCTATTTCACTACAATCGTATTGGAATTTTTCATTTGGGTGTAAAACAAGAAGATGTATCAGGACACCTTCTGGCACCAGGTGGCGCTCTCTACTGAGGATATTTAAATAGTAAAAATGCATTTCAAAGAATTGGTTAAGTGCTGTTTGCATTTTTAGGTAAACTCGTATTTCCCGATAGTTTTTATTTTTGGGGTGGTGCTTTTGTATGACAACATGAACAATTAGGATGAGGACATTATATTTTAACCCGAAGGTCAAGAAGGTAAGGGGTGGTGAGGGCTAAAAAGAGATAGAAAAAAGTTTGGTAAGATGGAAAAGCAGCCACACTGCCTCCTCCGAAACAACTGTGATTTTACGCAGGAAAGAATTGGGGAACACAAAGCTGATTTTTAAAATGAATAATAGAAGGCATTGTGGATGAGGCCGATTGAAAGCACCTTTTTTGTTTTTGTTTCAGTGTGTCTCTAAAATTGAGAGCGCATAGCAATTTAAATGAGAAAAATGAATTCGGGGACTCGCACAAATTGTCAAATGCTGTCCAAAATGGAATGATAATGTATTACAAAACCCAATAGGTATATATCTTTGCACTGAACATTACAATATGCACTAACAACTCACTTGCAACGACTTGAATGATGTTCTTGGTTTGTCCCTGGTTGTTGCAGATTACAACTCGCTTGTTTGTCCAGTCAGCTACAGCAATCTCGTCAGGGTCAGCAGCAGCTGCAATGCCTCTGGCGAATTCAAACTCCCCTTCACCACTCCCCTGCTTGCCGAATGTATGCTGCAGTTCCCACTTGTCCCTTTCCTGCTCCACCTCGCCCAGATCGATGTCTGTCTGACTCCTCTTGAACCTCAGGTACCAAAGTTTGTGGGGATACTGTGGAGGATGCTGACTGTTCATCTTTGTCAAATCTTTACTGATCACGGGATAGAGTGAAATAAGGTTGCAGTCTGATGCATTACTCGTTACGTCCTTACCGGTGCTATGGGAATGCCTCTTTTTACGCAGCATGTCACTCAGTGTCTTCTCGTGCTCATCCAGTTCCTCAGTTTGTTCCCGTTCGTGGGTAGTGACTTCATCGAGGAGTCGTTTCTCTTCAGCTTTGACCTTCGCTATGACCTCAGCAGCTTTGTCCTGCACCCCCTTTCGGGCCTTTGCCATGTTGTCCTTGACTATCGTCTTAGCTTCAATAGTGTCCTGCAAAGACAACTCAAGGCTTTGTATGTCTCTACCAAGAGCTGAGAAGTCATTCTTCAGTGACTGTCTGTATTCTTTAGAAGCTGTGCCGATGTCAGTGATGTCATGTTTAGTAGTGGGATGATCAACAACTGTGCAGACTTGGCAGATCAGCTCGTCACATGTCTTGCAATAGAATTGTGTGACGCCCTCCTTGTGTTTGTGACATTTGGACTGGTCCGGTTGTTTAATCAGGTTCACCTTCCCCTGACGAATGTCATTTAAAGTTACTACGACATGGTTTGCCGACACTGTGAACCGTAAGTGTGTCTTGTGGCACGACGTACAGATATTCAATCCGCAGTCGAGACAGTGATGCAAAGCCTCGTTATCCTCGTCGCATGTCTCACAGAGAAGCTTCGGGTCTTCTAAGCATGCTACCTTTTTCTGTAATTCAAATTCCTCAATTAGACTAACCAAATGGAAGTTGGTCTTGAGGCCCTGGATGCCAGACTGTGGAAGTACCGTCTCCTGACGACACACAGGGCAAGGGATTTGTGGTGCTCCTCCGTATGTGCCATCACGGTATTTTACAAGACACCCCTCACAAAAGCTATGTAGGCAGTTCAGTACTTTCGGCTGCTTGTATTTATCTGTGCAGATGTTGCACTCAAGATGGGTGCCGATCTTCTCAAAAGCAGAGCCTACCGATGCCATCCCTGTGGAAAATAATACAATTCAACATCACGATCAAGGTTAGTAAATCAATCAACTAATTATGACATTTGTCTTGTGCAGTGATTGGTATCTATTTCTTAGTTCAGTCTATTCAAAATTCTAAAATTTGCAACTTCACATTTTTCAACCGCAGCTACAGCAAAACGAAAGTGCTTGAAACGAAAGGGACTTATCCCATTACGTACTCCAAAGACAAACATTAATGGCGATAAACATATATTAAAGGGGTTGTTTGTCAATGACTTATTACATGACCTCGTACATCTCTGGGTTTTGTTCTACCGTATTTTGTTTTAAGGTTTAGTCAGTTTCGCGATAGGTTCTCACAAGGTTTTGCGTGCCTTGATGATGATAATCGATACAGTTTTTAAGGTTTTTAGATATTTCTTGTTGTTTTAGTGATAACAAAAATGTTTGACTGATGAGCTGCTCAGGTGCCTGAAATCAGAGTCGATCTTGTTGACAGTGTCCGAATATATTTAATTATGTATGAGGTGACCGTCAGGCTAAGATGGGAAACACACAACTGTGTTATTTGTCGAGTATAACTTGCTTGAATATTTACTTTGCAATCAAGTAATATATATGCACTAACTTTGTTTTTACTCGGCATATAAGTTTGGAACCAAAGTGTGGTAAAACATTGGTCAACGTTGCAAGTCTACCTTGGTATAGTGTTTCCTTGGACCTGATATTCAGCATTTTATTTATGACACGCTTCCTTGTTTGGAAATCTGAGGATGAATAGTGTCTACCTTGTAATTTGTCTCGGACGATCTAGTGAAGACAATTCAGGACGGGAGGAGACAAGCTGATACGCCACTGGTCAGAAAAAAAGAGTCTACAAAAAAAACAAGCAAATAAAAATGGATTGTATTGGGACATTTGTATGATTTATTCGATATTCGATAGTGCACGGAATGGTTTTAATATTCCCCGACTTGTTTTCCTCTATATTTCTTAGAACCACTCAAGAGTCAAGAACTCCGTTTCCTTGGCTATAAGCTTACACCTAACGACTTTTGCCAGAAATCAATTATTAGAATAATTGTGTCATGGTTCATACCATGTTTGTCTTGAGTATAAACAATGTATATAACTATTTCATTTAAACTCAGTTCCGTATGAGAAACTCAACTTTACAAATATATCACGCGCCCAAATAAGGCTGATACATTAATTTTACAAAATCTACTGTGTCATTTTAATTAGAAGTCCAAGAGAATTTGAAACATATCGGCCAGTAACGTTTCACCATGCCACTAACGAAATTGAATTACTGAAGGATTTAAATAAACGATAACAAAATTTTTCATTTCAATAGCTATCTCCACATGAGACAAATTTCCCGAATCTACGACGAATCGGAATGCTACAATCACGAAACACAGAACGGCATTCTGTAACAAACTTACTTACTTTTCTTGCAATTTAGACGATACAGCTGTCAACATATTTGACAAAAACCTATACTTTAACATTTTCATTGTCCAACTTTGAAGGATTTTTTTTCGTTACAGAAAATCTTTTCGAGCAACTTAATATTTCAAGAAATCGATTTAATGCACATAATAACAAGAGTCTGTTTGTCTCAGTTTGTTTGCCTAACCAAACTAATTCAAAAAGAATTTTGATTTTAGCATATTGCGTTCGTGAGATATGATAAAATTCTTCAAAATTTCAAAAATATATATATAAAATCACATGATGACGTCATGATGACGACACTTCAATTTTTAACTATAACACATCCCGGCCTACCCACCTACCAAGTGTTCAACCCAATCGGACTTACCGTGCAAAAACAAGGGTTTTTTGGCAAATATGCAGACAAGCCTATAAGGACTAAAACAAAGGCTTTTCCGCAACTATGCGGAAAAGCCAAACAAATCTTAACGAAAACAAGAGCTGTTTTGATGTGTCACCGAAACAGTTGAAAAAAAAAACACAGATTGTTGGTTATAATTAAACATCTAATCTAGTGGAGCTGCTAAGCGAAAAATCGTGCACTTTGTGGTAAAAGCATGACATTTGGCATGTGGGGTCAAAATGGGCTAGAAATTATTTTAAGATCGGGACCCATCCTGGATTTTGCCCATTTTGGGGGCGGAGCTTGATTTTTTGAAAAAAGGGGTGCAAACAATAAAAACTCATAAAAACTGTATTTAACATCCATTTTTCTAGTTTTTTTATGCTTTAAAAATAAACTTAAACATAAAATAAGACATTTCAGCCTTTTAGCGCCTGTTATTTTCCACCCATTTTGTGGGTGTGGCCTAAATGTGTAAAAGAGGCGGTATATATTAGCAGTTTGGTTCAAATATGGAAAATACCATTCAGTTTGGTGGTAAAATCTTGAAAATTGACATGTTTGGTCGAAATGGGCTGAAAATCATATTAAAAGGTGGATCCATCTTGGATCTTGCCCATTTTGGGGGCGGAGCTTGATCGGTTAAAAAGGGGTGTGCAAACAAATAAAAATTTAGAAAAACTGTATTTAACATCCATTTTCCTTTGTTCTTCGTGCTTTTAAATAAACATAGACATGATAAAAAAAATTCCAACATTCAAACACTTGTTATTTTTACCCTTTTGTGGGCGTGGCCTAAATATGAAAAGGAGGCCGCACATTAGAGCAGCTTGATTCAAACAAGGGAAAATCATCACTTTTGCTGGTAAAAACACAACTTCTGCATTGGTTAACTATGTTGTACCATACACAGTAAATATAAATTTAAAAAGGTTGCAAGGATTTTGCCTTTTTGGGGGTTGAAGCTACAATTTAAAGTAGGGGGTTGAATATTCTAGAAGATTAAATTTTTCATATTTAAATTAGTGCTATTGGCTACAAGTAACATAGGTTACAGCAGCGGCGGCATTTCCTTGTATTGTAAAAACACTACCAGGATCACCGGCGGGGGGGGGGGGGGCAACGGTGGACTTCACCTATTCTTGCAAGTGCTTTTTATGTATATATGGGCATGTAAACATGAAAATAATAAAAATATGCGCAAAGTATACGTCAATTCCTTGCAGTGTGTACTGCTGGATTTATATCATATGGATGTTTGGACTTGGAGAGTAATATGTTGATGTTTGAAAAGGTGGGATTAATATTTTTGAGAAATTATGTAGCTTCTTAAAAAAATGTGATTGCACTTTTATAAACAATTCCAAAATATACAATCTACATGAAGGAATGAATAAATTTATGTATTGAAAGCACAGTCTGTTTACGTCACAACAACAATGTATCTGATAACATTATTTGTGCCATTATTTATGCCACGAACATTGTCACTTGATATGAATTAATACAAGACTGCGGATCGCATGTGTCGCCTATATATTTTGCGTTCTTCAATAAATGTTCTTGACATTTTGTGTATTTTTAAACAACGACCTCAAATGACATCTTCATGACTCTTGAACTCCAATTTTGGAAGAGTTGTGATGAACCCCAACCCAAGGATCGCTCCATCCAACTTCTAAGTGACATTAAAATCCATCAAATTCTGTAGACAAAGAAACATTTGAAGCATATTTGAACAATGACCTCTTATGAGCCCTACATGACCTTTGCACTCAGTAATTCCATGAAGAATTGTGTCTTCTCATGCAACCTAGGGTCACTGCATCTAAGTTTCATCAAAATCCATGAAAGCATGTAGAATGTTGTAAGCTTCCCCCCAAAACTGTTCATTACATCATTATTAACCTCAGTTGACCGTTGACGAATGTCATTTGACCTAAAATATATCGCACATTATCTTTGCTACCCAATGACCCTTGCGTCCAAGTTTTATGGAATTTGGGCAAATATTTAGGAAATGAGAGAAATTCCTAACCTTTAACATACATACGAGACTATAAGGGTCTAAGAGTCTACGGGTCTAATCATCTTCTAACTCTTCCTATGACAACTTTCGGTTTGATGACATCACGATCCTAAAACCTCACAAAGTCATATTTTTACGTTTTTTTTCCGTAAAATATCCAAGGCTTAGTTTGGTAAAATTTTGCTGAATGGTTTTAAAATAGTCCAACTTTCTTGGACGTGCCGCTGGGGGGGGGGGGGGGGGCTCTTTCAGGCGATGACAACACCATTCACTTTTTTGTAAGCCCCATATTAAAGTAGAGGTCAAGTGACTTCACGTACTTGACATAATATTGTTTGTCAATTAGTGGTCTATCTGATTACAAAATATCAACATGAGTTTCATTTTGTTCAAGACTTCGTTCAAGCGATGGCCAAATTTGAAGATGTTGGATAAGGGTTAATCTTTGTTCAAAGTTTCATGTTTATACATGGTACTGTTTAGAAGAAAAGAGGCGGAGCATCATCTAAAAAAACGAAAGGAAACAAAGCGCAAACGAAAAATTGTAACTATTTCAAAATTGTGATCGGGTTGTACCCACAGAATTATATTAAATCACCAGAGCGCTAACTCCTCGCTTTTTTTGCGCAGAAGAGCCTTGAAACCATTCTGGGCGCAGTCGTTTTGAATTCATGCGGGTGTTTGTAAAACAAAATGGAACTAGAGGTTGTAGGAACAACCACACGGTGTTGGGCCATGGGTTACCACAAACTTTGCCACACACAACTCAAAATGCATGTTTAAATCCATGTTTGACTTTTTCAACATTCCGCCAGAGGGCGCTCTAACATTTGATGACGTCACCTGTCAAATGTTTGTACAGTACTGCCTAGGCAGACACTCACATTGTTAAAAGCAAGTTCGCATCTTCTGCCCATTTCAAATAATAAGGCACTTCCGGTTTCGACCGGAAGGAAGGGTCACGTGATTTTGCACTTTAAACCAAAAATGAAGACCCTGCAGTATAGTATCGGTTGCCATAAAAAAACAAAAACTGTAGCAGTTGATTTTATATTGATTTTCAAAGATTAAATCTACAAATCTTTGATTGCTTGTAATATGATACCTGATGACGTCATTGTGACGTAGTTACCTGAAAGT